TGAAAAAACCTAGGCGCCATGAGGCCACCTGATAGGAATGCCTGACAAGAAGTCAAGCATTGAGAAACTAGCTTATCAGAAAAACAGGACGTAGTGGTCAAGCCATCTGCATCTGGCAATCCCCGGGGCTCGATACCAGGAAATCAGGAGAAGAACCTCTGTGTCCCTGAGGTCACCTCCCATTTAGCAATCCCACTTCCCCTTAGCCCCGACCCTTACCCCATATTTCTGTGTGCTTTTGAAATTACTCTGTGTGTTTTTGAATTAACCAATAACCGCGCTTCTGCTTCTGTACCCTGCTTCTGCTCTATAAAAGTGCCAAACCCCAGCCTGTAGGTGCGCAAGTCCTCCGAGGAGACTTTGTGCCCACAGGTACCTGTGTACTAAATAAACCTCTTGCTGTTGCAACCCGAAGGCTGACTTGTCCTCAGTGGTTTCACTCTTACAAGACGCATGTGCAAACATCTAAGTATTAGTAGCATTAAAAATAAGTTCCTCTGTATGAAGCAGTATATTTAAAAATGAGATCTTTTTAAAAAGTTAAAACCTCATTCAATTTTCTGTCTCATAGGGTTTATACTGAGTTCAATATTGTATAACTATTAATTCAACTGTGAACCTAAAAATTTACAGCCAATTTTTAAAGAGATACATCTTTGCTCTGGAAATTGTTATTGAATATGTTAACTCTGTAATGAAATGCTTCTTCTAATCATGTGGTTATTAAATAAATAATTTTAAAGGGTCATTTTTTTCTGATTCTAGTAATTACATTTGTTATATTACCAAGTAGCTTATATAAATGATTGTGTAAAACAATCAGAATATTTTGTGAAATGTGCTTTCTGAACTTTATTGCTTGATGATGCCTCTCTCTCATTTCTATCTTAGATTAAAATAGTAACTTCGAGATTACTGAAATTCCATTCTTCTCACATATTTTGGGGACAGATTTCTTACTGTTATCCTTCCATCACTGTAAATGACTGAGATTTAAAATTTTCACATTTATGGGACCAGATATAAACATAATAATCAACACCAACTTTCAAAATTATATTCTTTATAATTTTGTGGAGAGCATTCAGAGAAATAAAAACATAAATGTTCCAGATTTACAGCCTTAGATTCATGGAGCAATCTTTCTCTAATGACAGAAGAATGTTGCATTAGCTCAAGAGCCACATAAAACTTTTAAGACAGGTATTACAGACACCACCAGATTTTTGTCACATCTTTAAGAGGGAAATTTTTATGTTGAATAATATGAAATAATTAATAGCTAGGTTTGATTGAGGCTTATTTTTCATAGTTCAAAAATTGATAATGTAGGTCAGAGAACTCACTAAAACTTGACATGGGAGAAATAATGTTAATTTTTTAGAGGAAAGAAGAAAACACATTTTTAAGAACTAATAGTTTTTGAGAACTTATTATGAGCCATTCTCTCCATGAAGTGGCTTAGAATAACCTTCGAGATGTGCACTATGATTATGCCCAAGCACATGAGAAGTGGCCGCTCCAGCTGGTTGAGTGCCTGCAGGTCACACGATGAAGGAGGACACTGGTTGGAGCAGAGCCCACATTCTGCAGATGAGCTCCACTTCTGGAGCAGCACTGAGGGAACAAGGTCAGCCTCAGATGTCTTTTCAGATCCCTCCAGCATCAGGCTCTGGGAGCCATTTACAGTGACCTGGTGAGCAACATGTATGTTGGCCAATTGATGTCATTCAGCAATAGCAGCTGATCATGGGTTTATAGCTGAGACGTTAGCTCAGGATCCAAGGAAGACTGATCAGTCCATCTCAACAGCCTGTTCACTGGCTGGTGATGAAGACAATATCTAAACCACTTGACACATTTACTCTTTGCTAGACCCCAATTGTCTTCAGAACAAATCTCAAAACAATTTTCATTATGATCTCTTAGTGGTTTGGTTTTTGTTTGGGGGATGGTGGTGGTGGTATGTATGTATGTGTGTTTGTGTGTGCGTGTGTGTATTGCATTCATGTAGGTATTTGGATGCAGGTGCATGTGTGTGCCTGTGCATGCAGAGACCAGAAGATCTTGGGTACTTTCCTCTATTGCTTTCTAGGTTATTCCTTTAAGATAGGGTCTGTTATTGACCAGAGTTTGTGGGTTTTGGCTAGGCAGGATCCACCTGTTTTCTACTTCCAATGCTGGAATTACAAACATGCACAGCCATGCACAGCATTTTACATGGGTGTTGAGGATTTAAACTTATATCCTCATGCTTGCAGCAAGTGTTCTTACCCACTAAGCCAACCCTCTGTTCCTGTACTGTTCTTACCTCTAAATTTTGACTCTAGCAAAGGCATATTACACCTTCCTGAAAATTTCCCTACATATCTGTCTCCTATTCTCTTATATTCTCTTCTCTCTCTCTCTCTCTCTCTCTCTCTCTCTCCCCTTGTCATCCTTTATGCTATGTCCTACTTGCCTTAATCTGTTTAGAGGAGAAGGGAGAGCAGGAAAAAGAGGAAGAAGGAAGAGGAGGTGAAGGGACGGTGAAGCAGGCCTGCTTTGCACTGCAAATCCCATATTCAGATCATGTGCGTTCACATTGCTCTGTAGATGTTTACTTCCAGCTCTTAATAGTTTGTGTCATTAGATAAAATTCTTTGAAACTACATATGTGTATGGGAGCAAATTTCTTTTATCTTTTCTTTTCTTTTCTTTCTTTGTGTGTGCGTGTGTGTGTGTGTGTGTGCGTGTGTGTGTGTGTGTGTGTTGACCACAGTAATCTGTGTGCCAAAGAACTTGCATTCCATATCTGGCTGTGTAACTTAGGAACTGTGTAACTTTGGACACATAACATCCTCTTGTGTTTTCAGCTGCACCATCAGACATAAAGAGAACAATACCTGCTTCACCAGCTGGGGGAGGTCGCTGTGAAGATTAAATCACACAGCACGGAGGGCTCTACACCTGTGACTGATTATCATGATGCAGTCTGGTAGCACCATATTTCCGTTCCTTTCTCAGTTCGTTGTTTCTCACTCCCTCTTTTTTTTTATTTCTCATCTGCCACTTTAGCAATGCCTCATTTATCTGATACATCAGAGAATAAAGTGTTCCACTAGAAATTAATGAATTTTCCACCAAACCGAACCATGGAAATTAATTTCTTTAGCTTTCATCATTTTAAATGGAGTATTCTCAAAACAAAAATTACTCATATCCTGCCTATTTAAAGATGGTTTATTAAACATAGTTAAGCTTCTTGATGATTCAGTCTCATCATTGCTGGAAATATAGGATGCCTCTTCCATAAGTGCTGAATGCCCACCCCATGCTGCCACTAGAACTACCTCAGTTGTTCACGCCCAATTCTTCCTTGCTCATTAACCTACCACTGGACCTATGTTTTGCAGTCTATCTCCCCAAATAATTCAAACTTCCTTGATGGCCTTTATCTCATGGCCTGGATGGCTAAGCTCTCGGTCCCCATATTATCATTTCTAATATTTTATTTATTTTTATTTTACGTGTATGACTGTATTGCCTGAATGCATGTAAGTGCAGCAGTGTTGTGCAATGCCTACGGAGGTCAGAAGAGTGTGTTGGATCTCCTGGAACTGGAGTTACGGATGCTTGTTAGCCACCATGTGGGTACTGGGAATCAAATCCGGGTCCTCTGCAAAAGCAGCCAGTGCTGTTAACTGCTGAGACATCTCTCCAGCCCCTAGTCCCCATATTATAAAAGAGCTTTATAAGCACAGCCTGAAGTTATAAAAGTCAGAGATAATCTGAGAACTTAGTTATGTCTGGGGAAAGGGAAGGAAAAAGTACTTACTTTGCATACATTTAAACTCTACAACTGGATGAGGAAGGCAATGTTGCTGTCTCAGTTTTAGAAATAAGAATACTGGGCCCCCAATGATACAGATCACTGCCCAAGGCATACAGCAGCAAACAGAAAACCCTTAACTTGAACATGGACCTGTCTTATGCTAGCATCCCTTCTCCCTGTCACCGAACATACCACATAAGATTACACTGACAGTGAGTGGGCCGACTGACTTCTGGTTAGAGATGATGTTAATAGGCTTTACAGTCCACCTTGCTCAGTTACCTGCTCTCTCTCCAACTGTTTTTTTCTGTCCTAGAAATGGAATTAGAACATCCTAATCCACGCTTGTTAGACTTGTTTAAAAGAAAGAATAAAACATTTGCAGTTAATGCAAGAATGGAGGGCAAATGGTTTCTAAGGCTCCATGCTGACCCTGTCAGCTCAGTATCAGTTGCCTGTTAAGTGCTGAGCTGAGGAAACAGACAGGATTCTGTAGGAATGAGGGCACACAGGGAGTAGTAATGTCTGGTATGACTAGAAGAGAACATGCATGATGCCACTCCTCTGAGACTTGGGATACTCACAGTGAGTCACCTGCATGAAGGCTGCGTTTCAGTCCTGACTTCATGTTCCTGGATTATCAGGTGTGCTCTTTGGCTCCGCCTCCATCTTTAGCATGACCATATAACTATAATGTGAATCAAGCTGTGTAAATGACTTCTCAACACTGGAGTATTTAGAATGGCCTTTTGCTTTTCTTAAAGGAAAAGAAGGAACCTGAGAGAGAAGAATAGTAGGATAAGGGTGTTACTAAGGGACAAATGTGTAAAAAGGGGGGTAGTTAAAGTGGGGGGAGAGAAGGAGGGCTATACAAAGAACTATGGGAATAAAAGAGACGAAGAAGAAGCTCAAAAGAGGTGGGATCATAGCATATAGGAATTATCAGGGGAGAAATGGGGAAAATGGGGACACTTTAAATGGGGAGGGCAGGGAAGGAGGAAAAGACAGGGAGAGAAAGAGGAGAGATAAATAGTGCCTAGCTAGAATAAAAAACCAGAGGGAATTGTATTAGTCCAAAAACTACTGAAAAATTACACATACGATATCTCTACATGAGTCCATGAGTATAGCGAAAGACTACATAACAAGAAACAGTGCCAGACAGGAGAAACCTTCCTTTGAGTTGTTGACCACAGTAATCCAAGAGACTCCCAAAATTACACAGGCTATTGCCACAGTCCTTGATTGCCTCCCAGAATGTGATGGCAAGACCCTGTTGCTGAAGACGGGACATACTTTGGACACAGGATTTGGAGCAACGGAGCTGGAACTGACCTGGAAGCCACCTCCCCTGAAGGCTAGTTCTCATGAGAGCTTTGGAGAGCACTATGCAGACTGCTAAAGGAGAACATCAATTGATGGTCCAACCCCACCTTCAAGGCCTAAAAACCACAGCAATGACCAGCACAGCAAACGACAATGGCACTTTTATCTTGGGGGTAATCAACCGCTACCTAATTGGACTTAAAGCCCACTCAGTGGGAGGAAGGGGAGGTACTATAAGCCTAGCCAAATACACATAGCTGAAGAGGTCATAAAACTTGGAGAAACTCCAAGGCTGTCACATCTCTAGACATGACAAACATAATCTCTTACTATGTGCAAAATATGGATCCTTAAATTTATAGACAAGTATCCCAGTCATCATCCATCAAAGAAGATTCTTTTTAAAGAGACAGGGATAAATATAAAGTTCCACAATTGGTCACACACGAAGACTGTCTGTGAATTGCCCAAGCCTAAGTGGCACATCTAGGATGCAAATTCATCCATCAACACTTATCAAAGAAGCTCCTGCATGCAGTAGAGGGCCACCAACACAAAAGGTCACAAGTGTCCAAAACACAGAGAATAAGTATCTGCAGTGTGTAGGTCCTTGGACTTGACTTCTATATCAAAATCTACCCACCCAGGGCTCAGGGACCATTTCTGAAGAGGGGGCAGGAAAATTGTAAGAGCCAAAGAGGAGGTGCATGACCATATGGAAATAGTCTTACAGGCTCCTGGGACTCTTCTCATGTGAACTTACAGCAATGGTGTCAGCATACACAAGACAAATGCAAACTCAAGGAGACAAAAATCCAGCACAGAGCTGTGGAAATGAGCAGCAGGCCCCCAATCATAATCAAAGATTATTGGCAGCTGATTACTGCTGGGTGAGGAAGAGCTGGTCTTCTTAAAGGGAGGGACTCTAGATGGGATGACTAGACCCCAGTGGATGACCTTGCACTGAGGGACATCTGGAGACACTAACTTTGCATGATAGGCCTTAACACAAATGCCAGACTGTATGAACTCCAGTGGGGAGGGGGGCTATGAGAGGGCACCAAAGTGGAAGGGGGAAAGATGATTTTCTGTATGAAACACACAAAAATTCAATGAAAAATTAAAAAAAAAAGAATGGCCTTTTGTTTTTCCTTCTTCCTGACTTTCGTTTTCTCAGACCATGCTCTGAGGCTGAGGTTTGGGATTTGGCAGCACAGACGTTAACACCCATTGGCTTTGTCCAAGTCACTAAGAACATACAAGCCAAAGACAGCAAACACTGGTGAAGAGCAGACAACTGCAAGTAAGTAAATGAGCAAAGCAGAACCTTGGTGACAGGAATATTAAGCAGAAGAAGACTGAATTATGACTACCCAAAGGTCTTCTGGACAACTGACACAAGCTCTGTTTCTCCTTGTTCATTTGCTCTGTCTGTACGTCTACACGAGCTAGTGAATCCCATAGTCGCTTTCACTTCTGTTTCATGTATCATCTCCTTTGCCTGCTTTCTCTCTTACCTTGCTGGAGCCCTGTCATGTCATCTGAGATTCTTGGCTTCTACAAGAAAAGACTGACATTTATGTGCATCACTTTTAATCCAGAAGATTTCTTCCCTCCTGTTGAGGAATTAATCGATCAGAACTCATCTGTTATAACCTTCATGCCTTTGGCTCCTCTTAACTTCAGTCAAAAGGCTCAAATCTCATGGTTTATTCCACTTAAACAGGATATACATTGTTCTTCCTTTTGAAACTGACATCACTCTTGCTGCTTGGATCTGGATTGTGGGAACTGAGATCATGCTGTGTTCTGTGGTGTCTACCTGATAGAAGTTTCTCCATCATCCTACACATGACAGTCAATGTGGGAACTCATAATCCTCTGCAGAAAGGAGGTGCCCCAGCTTCACAACTCTCAAATGGCCAGCAGTTCCCTCACTTCTCTTAGTCTTCATAAAGACATATCAAAGCAAGAGAGGCTGACAGCACTGGAGAGGAAAGTTAGATTCTGCAAGAAATTATTTTCTTAAATCATCTGAAAGAGGGAGGAAGGAAGGAAGGAAGGAAGGAAGGAAGGAAGGAAGGAAGAAAGGAGGTGCCCCAGCTTCACAACTCTCAAATGGCCAGCAGTTCCCTCACTTCTCTTAGTCTTCATAAAGACATATCAAAGCAAGAGAGGCTGACAGCACTGGAGAGGAAAGTTAGATTCTGCAAGAAATTATTTTCTTAAATCATCTGAAAGAGGGAGGAAGGAAGGAAGGAAGGAAGGAAGGAAGGAAGGAAGGAAGGAAGGAAGGGAGGGAGGATTATATACAGTCAGTCCTTTATGGCAGTTGATGTCATTGATACTATATTAAAGCACCTAATGTCTAGGGATACAATGTCAGAAGATTACCCTAAAGATATGACTGCTGACTGTTTAGCATCATGCAAATACCCAATTTATTAAAAGGCATACCAGAGAGCCTTGTCCTGTCATGTGTGCATGGCTAGAGTTCCCTTACTCCAAATTTAATCAATAGAACTGAGAAATAAATGAAATCAATGAAAAGTTTCTAGAAAGTAAAAATGAGTTTTATTGTTGTTTCTTTGCCATTCTGCATAAGATACAGAGTCTTTCCTGTGTTTTTTTATGGAGGGAAAGCACGAGGAAAAGGAGAGAGACCATACTGAGGGTGAGAGGAGTCAGTTTGTTACCACACATGATACCACTACCCACATACGGCCGTAAGTGTGAAACATGGTTAGTCCAAATGGAGAAAGGAGTTCTGGACGTG